ACCTGATAAAACAAATAGGTTCATTGTATTGTTGTATGTTCTAAGTTACATGTGCCTGAGAGGAGCACAGCTCCTTAAATAGTATCCACATCCCAGCCACCAGTAGGTCGGACCACCTTAGCCACACTGTCTCAACATGAATATACTGTCTACCGGTGTTCTCTGCAGCACGCTTGGGGATGCCGGAGTCTCAATAATTGCCCCTCGCTGCTCGTCCACCGGCCGGTTACAGCGGTACCAGCGGTCCAGGTAGTCAGATAGTCCAATTTTGGCGTCCCTCACCCACACAAGCTGCTCTTCTGACGCCCAATTCACCTCCAGATAGCTCATGCCTAGTGATGGGTTGAGAATGATGGATGCGGCAAACAACGGTGACTCTCCAAGTTTGGTATAGTATTCATTGAGTTTCTGCCAGGCGGTGATGATGGAGAGTCTCAGATAGCGTCGGTGATCCTTTCCCATGTCATCAACTGCCGATGATCCTGATGGCTTGCCTGATCCATCATCACATTGTCCCGAGCCACGACTTGGCAAGGAGTTTTGCATTGACTTTCGCGGGTGTATGTCCATCTCGCAATCCCTAAATCTGGCAGGAATCTGCCGATTTCGGTCTGGTCGCCCCCGGGCTAGCTCGACCTGCGAGTTGGTATTCTCTCCAGCTGCCTCGTCTGGAACAGCTTGATAGAACAGCTTCCGATCCTCAAGGTGTTCCAGTAAGCATTCCATGCCTGTCATTACCTCCCAAAGCCGTCCATTACCTCCCTCGCTGCCCCAACCCTGCGTTCTCATAGTTTGCAGATAGAATGGCTCAAGAATATGTTTAATTTCTGCCAAAAGTCTCCAGTCATCCCCCTTCAACATGTCGGCCTCTGGTAACCATTTTTCCACCTCTGGATGGACCAAGAACGCCCTGATGTCTCCCTGCTTGACGAGCGCTCGAGAGATCATGAGATAAGTGGAGTTCCATCTCGTGTCGTTGTTCATGACGACCTCTAGCTCTGCCGTCGACTCACTCGCCAGGAGATATTCTTGTGCTTCGTCGTTCTCGCGTGAGATCCTCTTAAAGAGCTCACACCTCTGAGGGGAAGATCTGATGAACTTGACAACATTGTGGAGCTTTCCCACCGGCCCTTTCTTTCTCCAGTGTCGTAGGTCATCCTCGCGCCGGCCGAGAAGGTCAAAGACCTGCGATTCGGCCTCGAAAGCCTCGAAATCTTCGCCGTAGAGGAAAGCACGAGCGACCAGATTCAAGATATGCCCATAGCAGCGCATACGTCTGGCCCGAACGTCTGCCGGGCCCATCTCTGCGTCGAGATCTCCGTAGAAGTTCAGAAGACAGCTATCGTTCGAAGATGCGTTATCCGAGATCACGGTTCCGACTCGGTCCTCTATCTTCCATTCTCGCACAACTTGCCCGAGCGTCACCGCGAGATTTTCCCCGCTGTGACATCCGAGTTGGCGACGGAGTGCCAGAAGGCGCGACTGGTGCTTGCCCTGGCGGTCAAGAAAATGAGCTGTGACTGCCATAACAGCATGCCGATTAGGCGATGCCCACAGGTCGAACCCCAGATGGATTTTAGTAAGGGCATCTGAGAGCTCCTGCTTGATCTCATCTTTCTTAGACTTGTACATGTCATCCAGCAAACGGCCCATCGATTGCCGGCTCCATGGTATCTGGTCAGATAGGTGAGGGTCAAGCTGCCAAGCGAGCTGCTGAAAGAATGTATCGCTGAAGAAGGAAAAAGGAACATTGGTGTTAATCAGAAGTCCCAGGCTCAATTCTCGGATCGTCTTGACTCTGGCGCGCGGCACAGTACTGTACTGCAAGCGTCGTCGCTTAGGCCCTTCAGATTCATCGGTTGACAGATCTGGATCAGCTGCTTGACTGCTCTCGAAAATCCTGTGAGACCTGGCGTTGGTCAATAGTGCTCAAGCTCGCGACGTCACATTCACATTCACATACTTGCGGAGATGGTCCGCTGCCGAACTCGTAGCAGCAGCGGCAAAGAACTCAGGCTGACCCTTCGCGTCGCACAGACGACAGGCCCAGTAAGGACTCAGCGGACTGTCGTTAGTGTCAATCTCAACAAGAAAAATTCCATGGCGCTTGATCCAGCTCTTCCGACCCTTTGAGCCCTTCCGGGACAAGGACTCTTCCAAAACATATCGTTTTGTTCCTCCACACTGCTCACGGAAGATCTGCAACAGTAGGGTGGTCTGGCAATGCCGACTGCGTCGTCAGCTCGAATTGACTCGCCAAATTCCTCGGTGGTCGAAGAAAAGAAAAGGCAGAGGGTGGAGGCGAAGGAAGCATGATGTCGTCGGATTCCATCGGGTTAGGCGTCGACTCGTGGGAGGAATAGTACGCGTTAAAAGGTAAACAAACTAGCACTGACGCGACTTGATGTCGCTAGGACGGGACGTAAAAGTTAAGGAGCTACTTTCTTCCCCACCAGCCTGACGGTGGTATTGGGGTAGCTCACTAATGGAGGGCTTGATGGATGACTTTGATTGGCTGGGGTTGCTCACCAGCCAGGTTCCGGGTAAGCTGTGAAAGCGCGGTCGACGGTTTGGCAGCATGGAGGCTAGATGGCATGTTGTGTATCAAATCTATCAAATGTTATTTCAAATCGAGGATCTTGTATTTGTTTGATTAAAATAAAATTTTGGCATATTTGATTGATTTGTTTGGCAATTTGTTTGATTGGATTTGATTTGGGGGCTGCGCTGGGATTGGCTTTGCCTTCTGCCCACGTTTCTTGGGTTTAGGCGGTCGGCCGGCCCCAGAACTTTGGGGACTGATAGAGCTCGCTACAGGGGACATTTTGATATATAATAAATGTGGTGATAGCTTCAATTGCGATGTAAATTGTGGTGTGCGATTAATTAGATGCCAGGTCTGAGTATTTTCGGCCTGATCGTCTGATATGTGCGGGGAAGAGCCGCATGTAATGACCTTCCTATTTGGGCTAGGCTGACGCTAATAGGATCCACAGGCCCTAACGAATTTACTCAGTTGATGCGATAGTGCTTGCCCAGTGCTTGTTATCTTCTTGTTATCGAATGATGGCCTCGGCTGAAACGCGGAGCTGGCTGTGCGAAAAAGCATAGCTCAGAGCCTCTTGCTGCAGAACGGAAGGAATGATAGTCTCCTCTTGGCTCTTTAAAATACGTTGGTGGGCCTGAATACGGTCATCAAGAAGACTACATGTCGCAGGCCGGGCATGGTCTCAATGATCCTCAGGAACAACAGCCCTTAGTAATCAAGCTGGGTGATTTAAAGTAAAACCTGTGGGATGGAATACCCCACACAGAAGATAGAACCAATCAACTCACTACTGCTGCTCATTATGAATGACCCGACCTTCAATCCATTTTAAGCACATCCAGTGCGACACTACACGACGTTGCACCACAGCAAGACAAAAATCGACCTGTCGCGTTAGCAAAAAAAAAAAAAAAAAAAAAAAAAAAAAAAAAACCCCCTCCAGAACCAAGTTCATCCGCAGTGGATAACAAGTCGCTGAAGCAAATACATAACTGTAAGCCAAGAAATCAGCAGTTGAATCGCATAGCATAAAACAAGATGAGGAGCATAATTACGGTGATCCGCCGAAGAAGGCCCTGGTTAGAAATCCTTGAATGTAACCGGCGCGCTTTTATGCGAGCATTGAATTAGACAAGAGCACAAATCAAGGTATCGTAACGCCCTGGCCCTCGAAGTGCAGAAGTTAAATAGGGAAGCATTGCGGCATAGACTTCAACTGCATCTCAATCGAAGAATATCTTATTAAGGATATTGAATAGCGGTACCTAATGAAGATTCCCAACAAGGACCGCGTTGTCGCCGGTAGTATCGATTCCGGTTTTTAGTTAGATTTGTATTTTTCGATGAGTAGTCAAGGTCATATGGTTGATCTGTTGGGCGCCCGCTACAGAGGCGCCCGGGCGCGCTTTTAGATTTTTTACGTTTTAAATTCTACAAAATTAGTAGAATTTATTTAAAAATTAGGGAAAAATATCTATGATATCTATTACATTATATCTATATATATATCTTACTTTAATCACTATATCTTTAACATTCAATTAGTTATAAGGTATTTCAACCTGCGCTTAGTCATCATTCATGAAATTCGCGCGCCCGGGCGCGCGATTAGTCTCATTCAACTTTTAATAATTATAATAAAATTAAAGAAAATTATAATAAGAAAATTAAGATCATAAGCATATTTATGGTGCTATTACATATTACATACAGAGTTTTTATAATTTAATATGAATGAAATGTTAGGTTATTATAGAAAACGTAAAAAAATCTAAATGCGCATCCGGGCGCGCGTGTAGCGGGCGCCGATCTGTTGTTTTCGCTTACATAAGCCCCATTCCTGGGTTTTTGCCATGTGAAGTGTTTGATTGACAGATCAATTTCCTTGTCCTTATGTATCTATAGATCAGACAGTTTGTTTAGGCCGCTTCCTGGGCCTGAACCTTCCGCCTGAGCCGACTAAACTTTGGTGGGCTAGGGCGTGGATCATTGTGCGCTCGCAAAAGGTGGAAGGTTGCTTTTGTCTTTATTAGTGGAGCCGCAGCGCCGACTACCACTATCAGGACTGTGGATATCGCACCTATTGGCTTGATGGCTTGAGTGGGTAGCGGAGGGCAATCCCCGAGCGACCTTTTAGCTTTGCAGTGACAACTCTTCTGGCGGCGACTGGCGGCTGGTTGTGTATGGGTAAGGCTGTTGCAGTTGGGGGCCTGATTGACCTGGAAGGAAGGGGGATAAGATCACATGCGAAAATAAGGAGTCTGCGTGGAGCCTTCGACATAAACTTTCCAGATCAGACCACAACAGGCCAAAGCCAATAGCGGACCATGGTCCCGGCGTAGGAATGCCAACGAAAAGTTCAAGCTACGTGAGCCTGATATAGGCTCGAAGCTGAACATTATAATATAAATCCGGCGGTTACGCGCTTCGTGCATTTTGGAATGATAGACTAAGTGGTCTGATTAAGAAACCATCAAGCAATCATGACGATATTAAATAGTACCCCACCGAGCCAAGACGACCAAACCCCAGCGCATCCAATCCCCATAATCATCATTATCGTGGTTTTTCTTATCTTATATATCCTTCTCATATACGAGTATGTCGTGCCCTGGTCGACAAATAAGAGCATATGTACTAGAGCTAACAATAAGGAAGCATTAAATTCAGAACCCCTAGTAACAACCCGCTCGCAAGCTCAGAGTCAGAGAGCGTCCAATCGTCGAGAAGCACAAACTCCGAGGTTAGCAACCTGCAACAGCTAGACTCAATAGCTCCGCTGCGGGTGTATAAGCAAGTAACAACAGAGATGGAAATCGAGGGCCCAGGAGAACATTCGGCCTGGCCCGACGCGCTCGTAATCTGGTAAGCCATTTAAATCAACAGAGAGTTTCATTCTTAAATTGACTGTTCTTGTTATATAGCGCTATATGCTTGGAAACGATGGCGGATAGTGATATCGTCCGTCGGTTACCGTGTGGGCATACATTCCATTCGGGTTGCATTACTCCATGGTACCTGGGGCAACATTATACTTGTCCCTTGTGCGTATCACACTTCATGCCATCGGGGTGTGCACATGTCAGAACCGGCACATGAAAAGCACAATGCGTAGGGGTTCACCAATACCGAGTAATCATGACCTCACGAACTTTGTCCCCCGAGATTTGCAACTATTCGTGCCGAGTGGGGACCTTGTGTGAGGCGTCATACTGAGACATTCTGTCACCTGTGCTGCCAGTACAAGCTTTCGTGGCTGAACTTAAATTCAGCAAGGAGAGTTTGTATCGCATGGTCGAAGTCGAACTACTGCACTTTTGACTTCGTGGCTAGCCATCAATCATATGATAGCTTGCGTTTTCATTTATCCTGCACAGCTCCATGGAACATGTTGGTGAGTTCGGGGGGACCTATTATGTTTGTTAACTACTATTAAAATTGACAAGTCGTCTCGATTTCTCCCCGGTTACTGGCAGATGGATACTGAGCCGGTTCACCTCTGCCGAGCTTTTATTCCCGGATACACTACCAACTATGCCTGTTATTGAAATCCCAAAGGAGCAATGGGCGCAAGTACTCGAAAAGCCCGGCGGCCGTATGTGTCTCCCTTTTCTATCTCTAACTTGGTACGCTAATAGCTAATATCAATTAACAGTGGTAGTTCATAAGAAAATCCCCGTGCATATGCCAGGCCCTGATGAGGTCTTGGTTAATGTGAAGTATTCAGGCGTCTGTCATACCGATTTACATGCTATGATGGGCGATTGGCCACTGACGAGGAAGATACCTCTAGTTGGTGGTCACGAAGGCGCTGGTGTCGTGGTCGCCAAGGGTGAGCTTGTCACGAACATAGAGATTGGTGACCACGCTGGGGTTAAGTGGTTAAATGGCTCTTGTTTAAACTGCACTTTCTGCTTGCAAGGCGATGAGCAGCTCTGTCCTCAAGCTCTTCTCTCCGGCTATACCGTCGACGGCACTTTCCAGCAATATGCTGTTGCCAAGGCGGCACATATCACCCGCATCCCTAGCGAGTGTAGCTTGGAAGACGTTTCCCCTATCCTTTGCGCAGGACTCACCGTCTACAAGGGGCTTAAGGAATCTGGTGTTCGTCCGGGGCAATATGTCGCTATAGTTGGTGCAGGTGGTGGCCTCGGGTGCTTCGCTCTACAGTACGCTAAGGCCATGGGTGTCCACAGCATCGCAATCGACGCAGGGAACGATAAATCCAAAGCTTGCAAAGATCTGGGCGCAGCAGCGTTTATCGACTTCCAAGAGTCCTCAGATATTGCCGCTGATGTTAGGGCCGCGGTCCCAGACGGGTTCGGGCCCCACGCTGTCCTCGTGCTCGCAACCCATGAGGAGCCATTCCAGCAGGCATACAACTATGTTCGATCGCACGGAAGCATTGTGTGTATTGGTATGCCGGGCCATGCATACCTTAAAGCACCAATCTTTGCCACTGTCGTTCGCATGATCAACGTCAAAGGCAGTTATGTGGGTAACCGCCAGGATGCGGCCGAGGCTATTGAATTCTTCCGACTTGGCCTGATTAAAGCGCCACACAAGCTTACTGGTTTGAGTCAGCTACAGGATGTCTATGATATGATGCTCAAGGATGAGGTTGTGGGTCGGTATGTGGTTGATACAAGCAAGTGATATCGGTTTCAAAGTTGTGCGATGGCAGTATGGCTGGTCAGGTTGAGAGAGATTGCATTAAATCACCATTCTGGCTACAGTTTTAGCTGGAAGATTGTTCTATTTTATGTAGTACTGATATGAATGTTACCAATTCTCATTCCTGCTAGAACCTGGCTGCCTCCAAGCCGTGGCTTGTCTTACCTAGTGAGGTTGTTGCCTTCTGCGTGATTGGAGACATCTAGTCCGAATAAAATTATATCTGGTTGGCTTGCGTCCATGCTTCGATTTACTTCTGGATAGGGATCTGTTGTAACTCGAGAACTCAGCTAAAGAGCCGCCCTCTACGGTTTTCGTCTTCGCTTTTCCATGTTCCCCTTTGCTTTAAGATACTCTGATGAGTCGTTCAGTCAGAGTGTCAATATGGTCATTGCGATTTTCAGACAGAGCAGGTAAAGATAAAGGTGTGCGGAGGAAAGGCAGCACGATGCATGCTATCTACTGGTAAGATGATTGATTCTCCATCCTATCTTTGTCTCCATCTTGTTAATACCACCAGACAGCCCGTTTTCAACGGTCTCCAGCTTCGGATATGAGGCCCCATTTCATCACTCCAGTATTTGCTGGAGCATACGATTTATACTTATGCCGCAGATTCTGTATTATTCACGGTAATTATCGTAGAATCCAAATGTCCAGACAGAGTTGCAATATTGAATTCCAAGGCATACGCGGGATATTGTGATCCAGGAAAGCTCAAGAGTAGCTTTATGAAAATTAGCTGCGGGTACCCGGGAATGCTTGAACAGGACCTCCTGACAAGTTACCAGAGAACAAAAAATGGGCGAATGAGATCGGGCAGAGATGATAGTATTACTCCCCAACTTAGAGTTTAGCCACTGGAAGAATGTTGCCAAGCCGCCCAAATGATTAACTGTCGCGCCATATTCTCAGTATGAAATAACGATGATGTAAAATCCTCGAAGCGGTGTAGTGGCCCACGTAATGGCAAAATAAGTGATAGTAGATATAGTTTTACGGAAGAACCCTGTCTTGTAGTAATTCTCTCTCCTCTCGTTATCTCTTTGAGCGGCATAAGGCTCCGGCAGGTCACTCGCCCCACATTGCTTACTAACAACACTAGTACCTGCGGGGTACGTGAAGTTCTCGTCAGACAGCTTCTTCATTCAACACAGCCAAAATCATCAAAATCCTCATACAAATTGACCCTAACGCGTCTTAATTAAAACGATGAGCTCCCAAGAGATACCTGATTATATAGATGATCACAGCTTTGATACCCCGCCTTTGAGGGCGGCTGATGACCCCACCGGCGTGCCTAATTTTCCGCCCGAAGAGGGCTGCGGTGATGATTTTCAACCTTTTAACCTAGAATATCGTGATTTCAAGATCAACCCTCTACCCAAGGAACCACTTGAATTATTCCAGCTTTTCGTACCTATTTCCCTTGTACAGTCATGGATTAAATACACCAACAGCTGGGTCACTCACTTACTTGAAAATGGCATTATTGACAACTGGAATACCCCCCTTTCCAAACAGTCCCGCATTCTCAAGTGGGAAGGCATCTCTACTGCAACAGCTTATGTATGGCTTGGGGTCCTTATTTACCTAGGAATTCATAGGGAAATATCGATCAAAGACCATTGGAAGTCCCCTAGCCTAGGAGATCAGCGCCCTCTTCACTCAATCATCAAGTTCATGCCGTTACGGAAGTTCGAGCTGATCACGAGGTATTTCCGCACTTTTGACTACACCAAGCTCGATGTGAGGGATGAGAGCGACCTTCCAAAGACCTTCCAAGCGGCTGAAGAGTGGTCTAATCACATACAAAGCGTGTCTATCGAGCTCTATTCTCCAGGGACTAACTTCACTGTAGATGAGTGTATGATCCCTTTTACAGGCAGATCAAAAGAGACAACAGTCGTCAAGAATAAACCCACGCCCGTGGGGTTCAAAGTCTGGGTTATCGCCCAACAGGGCTTCTTTCTGCAGTGGCTTTGGCACGTGAAGGCATCACCATATAAGGCTGTTATAGTCGAGCTACCTACACCAACGCCGTATGGCAAGAAGGGAAAGCTACGGACCGAGATTCCTCTCAACAATACACAAAGCGTCGTGGTTCACCTACTAAAAAGGCTGTCAACGCAGACACATCACGTCTTCACGGATAACCTCTTCTCGTCGCCGCAGCTCTTCCGCCTTCTTCGGCAGCTTGGCCACGGTGCCACAGGCACGGCACGCCCTAACTGCGGCATCACCACCGAGATGAAGCATATAAAAGAGACCGGAAAAGCTCCTGACGGCATAGCTTTGCAATATAATAAGGTATATTTGATCCCGACACAAGATAAACAGGTATGGACAGCTTTACCTGTATTTCCCTTACTAATTTGTCCTTTTCCTTTCTCCTTAGGTCATCCAAATCGCTTGGAAAGATAGCAGCATCGTGCTCTTCCTTTCAACTGTGCTTAGCGGAGCCCCTCACGAGCGCACACCAAAAAAGAGGAAAAAGCCCGCCAAAAGAGGCACAAAGGCAGAGTCACAGCGCCTGCAGCAGGTCTTCAATGGTGATAGCTTCAAGATAATCCCTATTCCTACTGTTGCCGCTCAGTATAACGATGAAATGAATCACGTTGACCGCGGCGATCAGATACGGTCTTATACAACATATCAGCACCGATTCCGGCGCGGTCCTTGGCAAGCGTTGCTTTGGTCTTTCCTCCTTGAAGTCGCACTTGCGAATAGCTTCATTTTACAGAAGAAAACACGGCAGCCTCGTTGGAAGCCCTATAGCACGCTTAAAGCTTGGAAGGAGTGCATTTATAATGCCATTTTCAACAGATACGCAACTGAAAGTCACATAAGGAAGAGAGGCCGTACAGGAATGGAAGAAGACATCGAGGATACAGAAGCACGGCAAATTCACCTACAAAGAGATATCAATCATGTCCATCGGGGCATACATTCAAGCTGCCTAGCTTGCAAAGGCTTCCGGCAGGGTCAGGCCCGACCCTTTAAAAGGAAGAAGGAAAAAGGAGGTTATCTACAGCCGATATCAGGAAATGAACGAAGGGTGCAGACCGTGTACGGCTGCAAAGTATGTGATGTAGCTATTTGTAACACGGCTGACTGCTGGTACTTCTATCACACGCAAATTTAGGTGTGTGAGAATGTACTTCAAGTAGCGCTCATTTTGATAGGTCCTACACCCCTGTCGTGACCCCGCCGGAGCTTTATGCCGCCTGAAGAGATACCACGGACGGAAAATCATAAGCGGCTATTTATGGCCAATGGCAGCGAGTTAGTAGAGACTGACCCAATGTCTAATTCCGGTGAACTCGAAACGTCAGGGTTGTTGGATGAAGTTGCGTCAGAAAGGCTCGAAAGGCATACAACACAGAGCGGCTTCATTCGCGACGCCGTCATCGGTCTTGCCGATGGCCTAACAGTACCCTTCGCGGTGACTGCTGGCTTGACTTCGTGGGTTCATTTTCTACCTGATATGATTTAGAGCTAACGAAGACCAGGATTGGGTCCACAAAGTTGGTCATTCTTGGCGGAATGGCAGAATTATTTGCCGGGTCTACCGCATCAACTCATGAAATTCGGTAGCGCCTGTGGATACACGCTAGGCACAGCCATTTCACCCATTTGACCAATAGTAATATTTAGCAAGCCATCAGATCTTTATTTACAGCTAGGCCAATTAAGAAGCTAGAAACAGGCTAGCGCGTACCCACAGGCGCTACCGAATTTCATGAGTTATAGCGGTATAAGTATGGGTTTGGGAGCTTATCTTGCCACGATTACGGATGCACATCACTTTCGAGTAGAGGAAGCACGTGAGCAGCGTCAGGTCACAGGGACTCCGCAACTTGAAGGAGAAATTTTGGTAGAAATTTTCACAAACTATGGCCTCAGCAGAGAAGAAATATTACCTATCCTCCAGAGTTTCAGGCAGAATCCAGAATCATGGGTCAATGTGAGTACTCCGATCTCTCGATACAGCGCCAACCTGAAAGTATATAGTTTATGATGGACTTTGAGCTGAAGCTTGAGCGGCCCAGCTGGTCTCGACCATGGCTCTCCGCCTTTACAATGGGATTAGCATATTTCGTAGGTTAGTACATCAAGTTGCTGATTCCAATTGATGTTAATGAAATATTGAAAGGCGGGCTGATCCCCATGCTGCCCTACTTCGTGAGCAAGCATATCAATACTGCACTAACCACCTCAATTGCAATTACAGCTGTTATGCTGTCCATATTCGGATATGTCAAATCCGTGGTTACTGGACTCGGCTATTATTCTGCCCTCTACGGATCTCTAGAGACCTTGTTTGTTGGAGGCGTTGCCGCCGGGGTTAGTTATGGTATTGTATGGGCTGTAAATGAAGGTTTTGAAATAACATGAATAAGAGGGACAAGCTGTGACTGGGTTTAAGACGATTATTGAGTTACGCGTCACTTTAAGGACATGATCCAATCCATATCTTGCATGGCTAGCACGCTACGAGTGATATAACAGGAAGTGAATATGGTAATTCTTCCACCCATTACATCTATCATTGGCACCACAAGGCCCGCCGGACCCAAGACCCTCCCCTCCTCGACCCTCTAATGACGCTGTCGGCACTTCATCCTCTTCATTGCTATCCTTTCGACCGTGCGAAGGTTCCTTAATTTAACTTGCTCCATTGTTAGAACACTATCAGAGACTTATTCTTCGGACTGAGATAGTCGCCAGTGCAGATCCGTACTGATACAGATATAGCCTTTAAGGTCAGTGCGTATTTGATTAGACCTCTACGAGTGACCGCTGCTGAGTCTTCGCACAGCCAAAAGAATGAATTCCCGGGTAGTATCGGCTGTTAGAATGCTTATTCCTAGTTGCTGTTGGATTGACGACTTAGATGCGAATGTGTTATCTAGTCATTATCTGAGTGGTCTTCCATTCCCACTAGATCACATGTGTGTAGTGGCGCCGATATATAACACCATGGCCAGCAACAACGGCCTTAGGCCATTCAAGCTCGTGGTAGTGTTGACGACAATGTGGCCTTCTCTACTTGTTGAAATTTTAGTTGACAGTATTAGTTGCCTCAGCCTTCTTCGGGTGCAAGAAGCAGCTGAGCCAAGAGAGGGCCTCATTGCTGACGTCGAGGACGGTGGTAGCAGCAGCCTTTCCGTGGGCGACAAGACCTGCTTGCTCGTTCTCATACATAGGCAAACCGTTTAAACGGTCGAATATTTCCTCAAACGTTTGAACGGTTCAAAAATATTGCAAACGGTTAAACGAACGAATAAACGATTTAAACGAACGAATGAACGATTTATGACGGTGAGAAATATCCACCGCGCCTGCTCTAATACCAATCGAAATAATGCCCACTATCGTCAACGTCCTGAGAGTCACCCTCCGGCCGTGGGATTCCGATTAAACCCATCCCGTTCTCATGCAGAGGCTGTATGAGTCCTTGACGCAACCAATTGCCCGTACATTCAATCATCTCGATAGTTTTGCATGTGATTCGTAATCTATCCCATGAACATGTTCTTCTTGCCCCAGAAAACGTCCTCTCCGGCTCCGATGACTCTGCTGGGATAGAAAGAATGCAAATAGCCATGCGGCTAAGTTTCGGATACTGCTTTCTCTGCTGTGGTTGACACCACTCCAGAGGCGTACAATCCGGAGGGATATCTGTTGCATCAACGTTGATGAAGCTAGTGAAATCATCCATAACACTCGCGTTAATAGTCCTAACCTCCAGCTTCTTTGATAGTATCGCGAGTTGATTTGGCTTCTTTGCCAGCGGTGGTGGCATCGACGTCGGGGTGGAGGGATGGTCGCTGGGTTGCTCGTAATTAAATTCCTTTTGCCAGAATGCTGTGGCCGAGGCAATAGTATCTTCATGCCATTCCTTTGGCCAGTTCTGCTTGATATACGCGATGCGTTTACGGGGATCAAGGAGGAGAGCGGCGGCGTATACGGGAACCTGGTCAGTTAGGCGGTAGTATTTAGAGAGGATAAACCATCCCATATCGATGGCTCGAACCATCCGTTCGTCGGAGTGTTCATCCGACTGATATATCTTCTGATACAATGTTAGTAATCGACTTGATGTGGATAGATTGAATGGTACCTGTTGTTCTTCGTAATGGAGTAACAACATATCCATCAGCATCAACGATTGTGAGATAGACGAGTCATCTCCCTCTGCATACAATGTTGCTGAAGCAAATGGCTGAAGAAACGTATGTACTTTGCCTAGCAACTCCCAATCTCCAACTAATAGCCGATTGTCTCCGATGACCTCTTCGTGATCAGACATGAAGGACTGGATTCTGTCCTTCTTCCTAATCACACGATCAATGACCTGATACCAGGACGACCAGCGGGTACGATTATCCATCCCTAAACGCAGTCCCACTGCCTTATCCCACGCATTCTGGTGGAGGCTTGATGAACTTAGCCACACAGCTAAGCCATGAAGCTTGCGTAATGCAGTGACGTTCTCAACGCCGCTAAAGTCGTCAGCCGATATCACGGACGTATTGCTAGCCGTGCTGCCCTTGCGCTTGTGCTTTCTGGCCGGCTCTCCGTTCTTTCTCTTTGTTGTATTTCGTTCGGCGGCAGCCTTCTTTCGATGAGAGGTTAGGACCTCGGAAAACTGGGAGAGAAGCTCCTCTCCAGTGACACCGGATGCTGACTCGAGTGCTGCGACTAGAGCCTCTTTAGAAGATGCGAGAAGGAAGGCTTGAAGGGATAGATTAATGATATGCGCGATACAGCGTATACGACGTCCTTTTGCGTTGAATTTAATCCACTCAATGTCAGCCTATAGCCTAAACTGCGTAGTTAACTAACCTTATGTCTACTCATTAGCTTGCGTTGTATAGACTCAAGACATGTGTCGTTTGAAGTCGCGTTGTCACCCGTGTGCCAACCAAGTTTTGACTGTATCCCTTACTTCTCTAAAGTATCGATAACAGCCTGCGCTTGAGCTTCTCCAGAATGACTCTCTGCACATTCTGGTAGAGATAGTAGTGCCTTACGAAGCTTGTAGTCTTTATCTACCCATTGTGCACACACAGCAAGTAGAGAATGTCTATGCGGTGATGTCCAGAGGTCTGTTGAGATATGAATCGGACTTGACGCGGTGGTGAGACTGTCCTTGACCTCGCTGCTGTAAAAATCATAGTTTGCTGCAATATATCGGACCATCGTACGCCGTGAGGTAATGAGGGAGTCTTTGATGTATGGGTTACAAGCGAGAGCGAGTTGATTAAACTCGTCCCATTCAATAGCCGAAAAGGGCACTCTCCGACGCGTGAGTATGCTGATCAATGCTTCCTGATATGCTTGCGGGTTGAAGGCATTTCGAAGTGCGTCCTCGCTTGCTACAGGGCGAAAATGTGCGGAGATTGAGCGCTGGGTGCCCGATACAGACCTGGTGGATCTGGATGCGACGGGGTGGTTGTTTCTGACGTGATTGGCAGCATTTGCCTTATGGTCGTATCGTTTATCTCCACACGCAGTGCAAGTATAGATGGTTTTACCTCCAGTCTTGCGTCCGCGTATATTTGAACGGTCCTTCGTGATGTCCATAATTGAGAGGAAGTTTGACGGCAATCCATTGACATCTGGGGGGTTTTCTGTAGCACCAATAATAGACGATGTGTCAGATGACATATTGATAGGTAAAAGGCGAGATTTTGAACTTGGTATCATGGATTGAGACCCAATATCAATGGGTTTTGTGTCGGCCTAGCACCGATACACGAATGCAGACATTGAACAAAAGATCAGTGTAGATTGAGGACCGTCTCTTCTATCTAAAGAGCGACGAGAGTCGGTCTCTTATACCTGTGTTCAGTCTGCCGATCTCATAGGCAGCAGGCTGTTACCTGACGCTAGGTATGGTGTAGCGTTCACGCTGACCGTGAAGCTATTCACAATGGTCGTGATCCTTGCCCTGGACCTAAGCGAAGGTCTCCGGAGCTTGACATTTTGAAAGATTTTTCGAGTGCCAGGGCTGAAAAATCGTTTAACCGTTCAAACGGTTTTAGGATGCCCTTAAACGGTTAAACGATTTAACATGCATAAACGTTTTAAACGGAACGAACGAATGAACGAACGAACGAAAGTGCCCATGTATGGCGGCCGCCATATTCCTGCGAGGCACACCGTCCGACTCCTCTCAGGACGTCTTTCTCGAGTTACAGGCACTAGCGGCATCGCATGGAGCCACACAGGTACGCTGGGCGCCAGGACACACCGACATCCCTGGTAACGAACAGGCCGACAAACTGGCCAAAGCAGCATCATCAGCCCCCGAGCCTGAAGGGGCTCAGCCAACACTAGCATACTTGCGAAGGATCGCAAGACAGAAACCGAAAGAAGCATTCGAGACGTGGTGGTCCACCTCTGCCCCTGAGCAGTATAAGAGACTCAATCTCAAGGCGACCACAGGTTGCCCGCCGGAACTCTCGGTCCCACGTGCAGCCTTGCAACGTCTGCTGGCAGCAAGATCCCTCCACGGGGACTTTGCAGCATATCACGAGAGATTCGACCACAGTGAAGCACGACTGGTCTGCTCGTGCAACCGACGCAAGGCACCCGATCATATCTTCTATTGCAGAAAGGTACCGCCGCGCCATCGGATGAGGTTCGCACCCTCACCGAATGGAGCAGTCAACCTCGCAGTAGGAAAAGACTTCACCAAGTTCATTGAACTATCCAAAGCGAGCGCCTTCTTTGGGAAGATATGCCCTCGCTATTAGACGAGAATGACCCGAGACGCACTCACGCCCTTCCTTCCCTCTTTATCTCCTATGCATCTCTTTTGTTGCCTCCCTTTCTTACCTGGCCTCGGTCAGATGAAGAGCGCTGGTATGATCTTCATTTGGCCGTGACTACCTGAGGCAACCTCGAGCTGCCGCAGCCATGGCTTTACCATAATCTACCTGGTCACAGGCTTATCTTGCGGCTACTGTTTATCAGCTGCCCCTGCTCATCCCGCTGACGGGTAATAGGCTCGATACGATGCGCCGTTCGTGCCGATGATATGCTGGATAGTGTGGTCTGTTATTGTGTCTTGCAGAAAATGCGCGCACTGTGTAATTAGATCATAGATAGCGACCCCTAGCTCAGCACGTCCTGTGCCCCAGTAGGGGACTTTTCGGGGCTGATGGCCCCCCGGACGAAAATTATACATATATACATACATTACATACTTGTTCAGTTGTCCAGCAATGAGCGCTGAGTGTGAGCATGTCTTTCCCCAGACGAAGAAGGTGATTACGGATGAACGGAACCGGCTTGGCTCGGACACCGTAGCAGCGATTGAATGCCAGAAACACCTGCTTCGAACGGGTATGTTAACGCAGGTCTATGAATAGGGGTAGAGAAGGGAAATGAACATCGTTAGTGATCGGTCGATTAATGGCGGCCAACCAAGTAAAGTAAGGCACCCTCATCGAGTAAACCAAGTCAAGCAAGGGGGTACCATCAACCAAGTCAAGTAAGGAGTCCAACTTTTGCTTTACTTGGCTGTTGGACACACTGACTCCCACACATATAACAGATCGAGGTAATGCCTTAGTTCAATCTAGCTCGGGCCATTCATCCAGCAATGCTAAATTCAAGTCGCGGCCAACACCACAGGTCTACGCCGAATGGGGTATCAGGGATGACGAGATTGAGCTGGTTTCTGATGCTCACGAGTCATATACACCAGATCCCAGAGATGCTGAATAGCCAGGGCACCATGAGATGATTAGAACTATCGACCTGTTGTTGATTTTTTTTCTCGTGATTTGATCGGAAGCGAATGAGATCTGTGACTGCTATATCCCTTAGCCTAGCGTCTACTGTACCAAGGACTGCTTGTAATTTTGTAAATTACACACTTTTCGCCTCTGAGCACCCCTGTTTCTCGATTATCTTCGTGAATTAGATCTTGCTTATCCGTGCACGTTGGTGGAGGTTTGAACGCCTATTCCTGTATTCTCTTTGCAGTCTGTCCAACCGATGTTCTAATCTAAACCTCCAGTACGAACAAAAGTTGGAGGATCCGTTCTAGAACTCTATTCTTTTACTATTAATTGTGGTGTAGTTCAAATTGTCGTATAACCCCCAATTTGTTTCCATGGACGTGTCTATCTCCGCTCTATTTCCATCCATCCCATCCCATAAGGACTATTTAGGACATGCGAATCGGGCTCGTGCCAGACTTGAGTTCGTGGGGACTTGGTGATATCCACTGTTCAGTAACACAAATGCTTATGACCGGTACCCCTGCGATCGGAAATATTGACTACCAGAATCCCCCTGTTGCCCATTCTATGCCATAAGCCTCATGGCTCCAATACAACGCCCCATTCTCTTTACTCAGAAGTAACCCGCCGATGCAAGTAAGCACAGGGTCGCGAACGTCTTGAAAGCACAACAGTTTCCCCCTCCATTTAAACGGGGACTTGACCATATTGTCGGCAAACGTAGTGTCTTTCGCTGTTCGTGGCAGGCAAATGGTTCACAGTATTGGCCAGCAATTGAAATCAAGTATATGTTTCGTGATCTGAGGAGAACCCCAGTCACGGCGGCTATGTTATATCCATCCCCTTTGTATCAAGTGAAGCATCCATAAACCGTGCATCAATTCTTCTACGTTCCCCGGTGTCTCAAGCTTACTAGCCTCGCGCCAGACCAATACTATCAGTAGAGAAGCGAGTCCGACATTCGCCCAGAAGATATAATCTCGAGATATAATCTCGACATTATAGCCATTATGAGGCATATCCCAACGCTCACATTTGCTTGGAATACACGAGATTATTTCGTGAAAGCAGCCGAGTGGTGTGCCAAGTGGCTCGAGAAAGGACCGTGGCGTGTGTAGGGCTTTCTCTTCGACTCGCTACAGAAAGGACATACGTAATGCCCCGATTGTATCCGAAGCCCATTCATACCAATACGAAGATTGTTGTCTCGTTAATCCTTCTCCAGATAATTAGTCAAATCACAAGGAAGCTGCTTATACCAATCAGCCTTTGGGTAAGCTACAATGAAGTCACAAGGAAAGTGTGTGTTATTCCCATCACTGATGTGTGTTGTAGGTAATCCAGGACTGGCAAAGTGATGCTGGTTAGTGTTGGAAGAATTGATGGTTCCCCCTCAACTTCAGGATCAAGGATCAAGATTAAAGCTAAAGTTTGATTTCCTAAAACTCAAATCGTAGGACTGTCATCAAGGACTAGGACTCAAGTCCTAGGAAGAATCAGTTGAAGATATAAGGCCTCAAAGGTCCTTCGACTGCAAGGAGAAAATAATAACAAATCAGTTGTTAACTGCACTCAGCATCCCTGCGTGATCTAATAACATAACGTCGAAAAATGACTTTTGCCAACATGATCATTCAGATTAATTGTAATCTTCAACAGGGGTAACGTCGGGGCCTGGGGCTCCCTCTTCAGCTTCTTTCTCATTGTCGACGGTCAAACGGATCGAGTTCCATCACAAGTTAGCAAAAGCGGTGGCCGCCTTCGTCTCGACTCCGACCCTTCAACAGCAACAGTTTACCGATCACCGTTCACCGATAAACACCGGTAACACTCAACCCGTCACTAGGAATGTTTAGGTTTAGGTTTCGGTGAGCTCTATCACAAAAGGCCGGAATTCCTTGCTAATGCAATTTCAAGCCTAAAAATATACTTTGTGATTTGCAGCCGGTCATGTGCGAATACAAGATTAGTGGATAGGGGGTTGCATGGCGTCTCGGGTGTCATGCGCAAGGATGGCGCTCCGTGCGACGCGTTCTACCCCACAGCGGCCAAAAGATTGTGTCAAACCTGTGGCGAGCATGTAATTTGTCCCTGGCCGTCTTTATCTCGAAACAGAGACTGCACGTCTAGCTTAGAATGTAGCAGATCTTGGCCTGGGTCTGCCGACGACAGTTATGGACGAAGCTGACCAAAACTCATCGAGGCAGCACGTCAGCGGCATAATCAGGGGGTACACAGGTTGAGCCGCCGTGACAAGAGTTTCAGTGAACCGACGACTGCGCCTGAGGGTAATACATGGGCTATATCTTCCAGGAGGAGTGCTGGTGGTAGTGGTGCGATATGTAGCGGTGAGAATGGGGAGTGCCGGACTACAGTAGAGGATTATTGAGCTGGAATCCGGCGTCTAGGCTCTGAGTGCTACTACTTTCCTCGCTAACGTCGGGTAGAGGAAGCCCTTGGGGGATTATACTGTGACGGCCCACGTTGTTATACTCCATCTCGACAACGTCCTTGTGAAACATGACACTGCTGCTTGAGGAGTTGGTGTTGGAGGGCAGGATCGAGGAGAGCACGCTGATTGAGATATAGCCAGCGTTGTAGTCAGCTGATGATGATGGGGTCAAGACGTTGGAGGGGCTGGGGCAGGAGACGGTGCTCGCCAAGGATTCGCAGTTGTTGGATAAGGGGACGTGTTGTTGGCTGTAGTCGGGGAGGAAGTTGTAGTAATCGCTAGGAAATGGTGATCCACGAGGGCTAGGAATGGCATCGCTACTAGTGCCGAGGTTGTCGTTGAATGTCGACGTTGATGAGAAACTCTCGAGCAACGAGAGCTGGGGTGAATTCAGACCTGGAGCCGAGTAAAGTGATGAGGTTATTTGCACTCTCATATTCTCCTTGAGTCGCATCAGCTCTTCCTCGAGCGCCCTATTGCGGTTCAATAGCTCTTGGACGGTCTGGTCGCAGCTTTGGCTCAGCTTGAGCGCCGTTAACTCGCGGTCCAACCGCTCTATGTGCTCCCTGGTGCGGGCACGGATGGCCCTCTTGGCTTCTCGATCAGACCTGCGTATTTGGATATGATATATCGATATCAACTGTGCTATCTGGATATATCGATACTGATATATATCGATATCGATATAACTCTCTGCCTCTTAAATGGATATCCAGATTGATATCCACCTAAATACCGCTCTCTGATTGGCTGAAAAGATCTTATCAACTGATTAGATGATGAAAAGGTTTCTCTCAATTTCATCAGCACCACCATCTCAGTACTCGTTCAAACGGCCCTAGGTTTTCTAGCACAATTAGCTTATCCAGGTGATTTATCGACCATGACATCATCTCAGACCACCGCCGCCTCTACGCCCTCGATTTCGGACCAGCCCATTACTGGGACGTCTCTGGACTTTTTGTTGGAGATCACAAATGTGAGACGACCAAGTCGGTGGCAAGGTGTGAAACAAGGTGGAACATTCCACGGAGGTGGTGCCTGTACATAAACAGTAGTTCTCCTACTGCATATTTTGAATGAATTAAGAAACCTGAATCTTCCCATTTCAACACTCTCACCGTGAGAGAAGCTGCGGATAGATTCAGCGCCTCCAAGAGCGCTGTTGGTCGTCATCTGAAGTCAATGAAGCTATACGGAAAACCTGACTTCAGTGATAACAGCCGCGGCCGGCCGAGGAATCTCGATGAGGCTGAGGAGCGTGCCGTGATCGCGTATATCGTTTGGCTCGAGAGAGCAGGTTTTCCCTGTAATCAGCTACTTATTGAAGAGGCAGCGAATGATTTGAGGGCATCACGAACGCCTCCAGCAGGGCCTGTTGGCGATGGATGGTACAGGCGGTTTCTTCGCGATAATCCGCAGCTGCAGAAGAAGAAGTTAGTTCGAGCTTTCGACCGAGAAAGGGCAGGATTTGAAGCTGGAGATATTGAAGATCTTCAGCAATTCTATACTGACCTTGGTGTAGCTGTTAAAAACCGAGATATCGAGGCCTCACAGATGTTCAACGCCGATGAATGCGGCATACGGATTGGCGCCCTTCGCGAGAGGCTTGAGGTGATTATCGTGAAGAAGATGCTTAACGCTAAACACGATGTTGTTTCTTTCACCAACAGAGAATCAACCACGATGCTTGGATGCGCGAATGCAGCTGGATGTAAGTATTCTCTGGACTTCTGCGCATATTCTGATATATTTTTAGTCATGATACCTCCATTAATGGTATTTAAGACTTGGCCAACGGAATCTTGGGATGTTGATGATCTGGATGAGGGTATTCGCTTCGCTCGCTCTGAGAGCGGCTTTTCCAACGCAGAGATCTCGATGGATTGGATCCGTCATTTTAATCGCAATTCCTTCGAATGCACAGCAAAGGCACAGTCTAGAGGCATTACTTTTACTGACTGGTTTGGCTGTGATGAGTATATGAGAGATATCGATATGCCTGACTTCATTTGGCATCAGCCGTATTTTGAGCGGCCTGAAAAGGAGCGGATTTGGCGATTCCTTGTTATCGACGGCTTCACCGGCAAGACCTCCTTGGAGCTTATGGATTATTGTATTCGCTTCGATATCGAGATCTTCATTCTTCCTCCCCATTCAACACATCATACACAACCTCTAGATGTTGGAGTATTTCAGCTGCTGAAAAATTCTCACCAAAAACGTCTGCGGCGTCACATCCGCGAAGGTTATCTCAATTTCAAGCGCTCCGACTTCGTCAACAAGCTAAGCGAGATAATTAAAGAAGGCTTCTCAGTTCACAACATCATGAACGGCTTTGAGAAGAGCGGAATTTTCCCTGTAAACGGGACAGAAGTTATTCATAAAGTCAGGGAGAAGAAGAAGTCTCTTCTTGCTATTACAAATCCTGCTCTGCCGTCACTTCTTCCAAAAGAAGCGCGCTTTAAAGATGCTCGCGAAGTTGCTCGTCATCTTAAACGCAACTATCGCGATGGCTTCAGTTCACCTACTCGTCATTCCTTCGGCGTTTTGGAAGATGTTGTATGTGAGGCTGTAGTTCTGAATAGCTTCGCAGAAGAGCACATAAAGACCCGACTCGATCGTATTGCCTCTGTAAACAACAAGAGGAAGAAGAGGAAGAAGGTAATGCCATCAGGATTATATATTAATAGCGTTACAGTTAAGCAGGTGCGAGAAAGTCTCATTGCTTCAACGAAGAAAGAGCAAGAAGAGGAGCTTTGCCGCCAACGCCGCAGCTTGAAGCAATTACAAAAAGAAGAAGATAACCGCCTACGAGAGGAATATGAGAAGAGTTACAAGTATGATATAAACAATAATGGGAAGCCTATTCATATTAGCTTTCCGCGTTGGAAGAAGTGGAAGCAATTAGATATAGTTGACGAGATTCTCGTTATTCCTCCTCCATCGCGGGAAGCTTCACCAACTCCCCAAGAAGGCTTCTTTTATGATACGAGGGGTTCAGCACAGCAGAAACGCTTCCACGAGCGACTTCGTGATGCTAGCGCTGCTGGCTTTTACCGAAGTCCTCTTCAGGATATGCCTGCCCTTCCTTCGAGCGATAGTGTTGAGGTTATGCTCGGCAACTCACAGAGAGATCCTGCTCGTGATAGCCTTACTTTTGGAGATTCTGATGACTCGGAAATCGATGAAGAAAGCCCTGATTTTGTTGATCTGTCACAGGATATCGAGGAGCCCGAGCTACCGCCCCTTCCTGCTCCTTTGCCCAGCTTCGAGACCGATTTTTCATCCACTTATCACAGAATCATGAATACATTACACCCGCAAAGGCACACACAGTAACATATCGTCATCCCTTGTGCCGTTGGCGGCCAGATCAGAGGCAGAGGTGAAGGCATCATGGGGCTGGACTGGCCTGCAATCAAGGTTCACAATTTCGGCCGCAACACCACCACAAATATGCCTCGCATAATAAAATAATTTTGGAGATAGCTTTAATACACTTTAATTGAGTCATAGCGGAAATTTCGAATTTATTGCAATAAAATTAGAAGTGTAAGCCAGAGATTTCCTGATTTTCCCACCTATTTCTAACCCATCAGCTGTCCCAGATTTTTGCCCTTGTCCCAGATTTTTGCCGCCCACTCTATGAGTGGGGTTCCTTTTTAGTCAAACCCACGAGTACCCTATGTCAAAAAAAACACCATAAAGCTTCTGAACAGCGCAATTTTAGAATACATATAATATCTCCTGAGTGCGTGAAGCCCTCCAAGGCGTACCCCGCCCCAGTGTTGTGCATTTAACAGCTAGCGCCCTTTATACGGGACCTTAGGGAGCGTAACTGTTAAGGTCTTATCATACGTCTACTTAAGCCTTGGGCGAAAGATAGGCGAGAGTGAGGTATCGCTTTTAACGAGAACTCTGATTGGCCTGACGTCCTTGTCGTGACCACATTGGAGGGCTTCACGCACTCAGGAGATAGGAAACGCTATTCGAATGTCCCATGCTTTCTCATTGGGATGACGTAAGTCTCAATGGATATACGTAAGATCGGCTCCGTGAGTGCCATATCGTCATGAGGGCCATCAATAGATGTACATTTTCATCAGCAACATTTCCAGCAAATATCAATTTCGACTTTCCTTACTTTGCATTTATCCCATCGAGTGCTAACTGGCGCCAGGTACAACTACCCCGCTTTTATCTCCATCTTATGGATAAGGTACGGTTTCTGGTTGGGTCAAAACTTTCTGGGCAGAGCGCTGATTGGCTGTAACTCTTTATCTCCATGTACCTGGCGTCAGTTAGCACTCGATGGGATAATACAACGATTATACCATTAAATAACTTCCGGCAAGCTGATTGCAAAAACGCGTCCAGATCTCTCAATATCTCAATACTGCGCGAAAAATTGCAATCGATACTAATCGTGTCAAGCTCGTGATATGAAGGATGTTAGGGACTTATCTAATACCTGACCCCAATACGGCACTCGCTACATGCTTGTCCACATCAAATTAGCTCGAAAGGCATCTGAAATATCTGCAGGACAAGGGCATATTGTGCCAACTGGCCGCGTTGGACACGTCATTCGCGCTGACCTGACGACCTGTTGTTGACCCATCACCTGCACCATGTTTTGCAATTTCGACATGACAAAGATATTATTTTACCATGACCTCGCCTGATTCCTGCTTCGACATTTCCGACAGCGGCTTCGGGTCCGCTGCCGAATCAGAACCCTGCCCGACGCCGTATCCTACCCTTTCAACCTTGACCCCTGTCTCGACTCTAAGGACCTCTTCCGCAAGCGATGAACAGTACGAACGTACGCTCTGGAGGCATTTCCCAGGCTGGGCATTCTCTGAGCGAGCCAGGGAGACGTGTTGCTGGGCCTGGCAATTTGGATATGACATCCAAAAGGAAGACGACCGCAGATGGATATGCCGAGCGTGCATTCGCAATAATAGTCCACGTCCACGTCATTTCGAAGCTGATGGCATTCATACGCGTACAATCATCTGTTCAACGACCACGGGACCCGCGCTCCGCCTGGAATGACCCAAAGAACTGCTGAAAAGAAGGCGAATTCTAAGGGCAGAAAGCCTCCGGGGCAGCAGACTCTCGCTGAATCCATGAAGCTCGATCTACACGACCCCCTAGAACAAGCAATTGCGAATGACTTCATCAAAAGCTTCGACAAGGAACACTTCCGGAGGCTTCTGATCGACTGGATCGTGGCCAAGAATCACTCCTTTTCGATTGCCGAGGAGGCAGAACTCCATGCTATCTTCGATTACTTGAACCCGTCAGCTTCGGCGCGTAAAGCAAATATTATCCACACAACTGTTCGAGAAAAGGTCGTCGTCGTGTTCGAATAACACAAGCAGAAGGTGATAGAGGTTTTGGGCAAAGCGCCTGGCCTTATCCACATCTCCTTCGACGGCTGGCGGTCTGGAAACCGATACGCCTTATCCCTTGAGTTGTGTTGAACCTCCCGGCCGTACCGGGCCCCACCTCCCCACATTTGTCAGGAGGTATATTAGGGGAACGTAGTACTGCGTCGTCAATTGATTCCACCTTTACCATTATACAAGTTATTTCGAATTGATTAATGGCATCTCGATCAATACCTATAGATTCCTGTGCAGAGACTCTCAACGCGTACGATGATAGTAGCTTCATCAACGAAGATAATAGCCGTCAAGAGCATCAGGGTGATAGCACCCGGAGACCAGCTTTCCCAACTGCTGAGGACCGAGGCTTCAATTTTCAACCATTCGAGGTGCCGCGACGAGAGCTTCTGGTTAAGGAGCTACCCCAGAACCCGCTGATATTTTTCCAACACTTCGTGCCTGTTTCAATAGTCAACAACTGGGTCAAATACCGGTATACCAATGACTGGGTTAACAGCCTACTTCAGAGTGGCGTTACTGATA